GTACTGGGAATCAAACTCAGAGCCTTGCACTTTTGAGGCAATTTCGGTGCCACTGAGCTAAATTTGCTGCCCTTGAATATCTTTCTTAACCTCCTTGGCCTTCACATTTGTCACAAATCCTGTTCTTTTGCAGAGCTAATTTTCTTGTTGCAGGATTGCATAAATCTTCTAAGGTAATCCAGAGCTGATGTCCCACATTTGACCTCCTTTCTCCCTGCATCCTTTATTTTTTTAATTTTTTTTTTGAGACAGGGTCTCACTATGTAGTTCAGACTGCCCTGGAACTCACTATATAGCCCAGGCTGGTCTCAAACTCACAGTGATCCTCCTGCCTCAGCCTCCCGAGTGCTGGGATTACAGGCTGCGCCACCACGCCCGGCTTTCTCCCTGCATCCTTTCTCTTCCTCTGGAAAGCCCGTCAGAGAAATCCAGGGGAGATCAGCCCGGCACCTCTCTCCATCTTTCCCTCCCTCCTTCCTTCATGTATGTGTCTAGACACACACACACACACACACACACACATATTTTTTTTTTAAATTTTTAAATTTTTATTTTTTTTTTGTACCAGGGATTTTGTACCTTGTGCTTATGAGGCAAGTGCTGGGCCACTGAGCTAAATCCCCAGCCTATTTTTTCTTTTTTTGACGGGGATGGTTTGAGACAGGGTCTTACTATGTAGTTCAGGCTGGCCTTGATCTCACTGTGTAGCCCAGGCTGGCCTTGAATTTGTGGCAATCCTCCTGCCTCAGCCTTCTGAATGCTGGGGTTACAGACGTGTGCCACCTCACCTGGCCATTCATTTATACTTGAGACAAGGTCTCGGTAAGTTGCTAAATTGCCCAGGCTGTGCTTGTACTTGCGATCTTCCTGTCTCAGCCTCCTAGACCTCTGGGATTACAAGTGTGTACCCCTAAGCCAGACTTGGTTTCAACTTTTCGTGTCATTTCCAGAGTGTAGCTTCATTAGTGGATTGTTCTCCTGGGGATTTCAAGGGAAAAAAGCTGTTTTTCAAGTCCTTCCCTCCTTCATGAGACTTGAGCAGCAGCCTCTGTCTTCACATCGCTGTGGAGTGCTAAAATTCCTGCATTTGCCTTTAGCCTCATTGCATCATTTCCTGCTGGGTTTCTGAGAGTTGTATTCTGTACATGCAGTTGGAGAAGTTTTGCCCAGACACAGTTTTGATGGGTGCCCTCTTTTGCAGGGCATTATCTCTCAAATTCTGCGGCTGTGGCTGCCGGCGGTCTGACTTAGCCACCCAGAACTACTTTTTCAGTGTAGGTTGTTCTTGTGAGCATCTCTTCTCTCAAAGGTTACAGCTTTTCTGTCCTGTCCATGGTGGCTGTACCCCAGTGTCTGCAGACTGTTGTTGCATATATTCAGGTTTCACTTGTAGTTTTTCAACATTTCCAGCAGTATGCTTAGGCTGACAAGAAATACTTGGTCATGGTCAGGACCAGATGTCTTGGGTAGCTGAAATTACAAGGGTGTCCCCCCATACCTAACTCCATAGTTATGGCTTTGACTCTATGTTTATAAGATAGTTTCCCAATTTCCTAAATTGGAATTATGCTAACCCTAATGATTTTTCTATGAAAAATTACTTTCTTCGGTGAATTTAATTTTTAAAAAATTTTACGATGTTTTCTTTATAAATTCATTTAAATTATATTTTGTATCTCCTTTTTTTTTTTTTTTTGAGATAGAGTCTTGCTACATAGTCCAGGCTGGCCTTGAACTCACTGTGTAGCCCAGGTTATCCTCAAACTCATGGTGATCCTTCTGTCTCAGCCTCCTGAGTATTGGGATTACAGACGTGCGCCACTATGCCTGGCTTGAATTTCAGGTTTTACTGGAACTAAGTGGTTCTCCATGGTATGATCCAGCCTATCCTGTGAACTTGTGCCAGTCTGTTTATTATTATAGGCTTGAAACAAAATAACTAATGCAAACTTTTAAGAGTAAAAATTTACTTATTTATTAAGAATAAAATCTTAGAAGAAATTTACATTTCAACGTTATGGCCACATTCTTTTTTCTTTGGACAGGGCCTTGCTCTATAGCCCGCCCAGGTTGGTCTCTCTAACCCATGGGGATCTCCTGCCTCAGCCTCCCAAGTGTTGGTATTACAGGTGTGCGCCACCATGCCTGGCCTACACTCATACAGTCTTCATAAACAGAGAAGATGCCTTGATATTCATCTTCTCTAACTCTTTGTGTTATTTTTTTTCAGCTTTAATTGAGTTTATTGGTACATTTTAGGGATACAGTACAATTACATTCATTGTTGGGATCTTGTACCTCTACATGACAAGTCTTGATTCTCATTTTTTCCCCTTACCCCTGCCCTCCCTTCACCCCCTCCTCCCTTCCCCATCTACAAATACTTTATTTTCATCTTTTCATTGTCTCACAATTTTTTCTTTTTTCTCTCTAACTGTTTGATATCAAATAATATGGAGAGAGGTATCAGAGAGATGTAAACCTCGTTTTATTTTTCATGATATTCCCCTTCAAGTCTTGCCAGAGTTTCGTGGTCAACAAACTTCTTTTTGTTTGGTTACATACTTCTTTGGTAGACTTAGATACTTCATCCACTTCCTCTTTCTTTAAGTTCTTTGTATAAGTTCAGAAAGTAGATTTTAAAAAAATTTCTTGGGGCTGGGGATTTCACTCAGTGGTTTGGTGGCCTGCCTTGCAAGCAAAAGGACCCAAGTTCAATCCGCAGTACCAAAAAAAAAATTCTTGTTCCCCATTTTCCCTTTTATAGAATGAAGTGCATAATAATAATGATAAATTATATGTGTTTAATGTGTCATTGGTTGTTAAGCACTTTGATGAATATTATTATTTTTCTTTGGTACTGGGGATTGAACTCGGGCCCTTGTGCTTTCAAGGCAGGCAGTGGAACCACTAAGCCAAATCCCTGGCCCCCCTTGATGAATATTATTAAGATTAATATGTGACATGCCTACTGGGCAAACATTTACTCAGGAGGCTGAGGCAGGAGGATTGCTGCAAATTTGTGGCCAGCCTGGGTTACATAGTGAGTTCAAGACCAGCTTGGACTACATAGCAAGACCCTGCCTCATACCTCCCCATCAAAAAAAGGAAAAAAATATAAATGAAAAATATAAATGAAGGAAGGAGGGAAAGGAGGGATGGAGGAAAAGATGGATTCTGGAGCTACAGCATTTGGCTTCAAAACATGAGCCTGTCACTTATTAGCTCTTGGGAAAGTTTCTTTTTTGCTTCAGTTCCCTCATTTGTACGGTGGGAAAAATAATAGGGTCTATATTTTTAAGCTTTGAAAAATGTTGAGACATAGTCTGGTGAAGCCACCAAGTTGTCTAGGCAGGGCTTGAGCTCGCTTGGTGCTGTGTGCTCCCATCTGGCCCGTATAGGGTCCTTGTCACCTGTGAGGCCTGCGGGAGACCCCAGTGCTGGCTGTGCTACTGCTGTGTTACTGTTAGGCAGCTACTTTCACAGCCACGGCCACGGCCAGCCACATCAGTCTTCGGTTTTCAGTGCCAGGCACCTGGTGGTATGATTTTCTTTCAGTGTTGGCCTTTTGGGCTAAGTTCCTAGAACAGCTTTTGAGAGTCTTGTGATGCTCCTTTTTTTTTTTTTTTTTTTTTTTTTTTT